GGGAGCACAAAAGGATATGGGCGGGGGGGGGGTCAGTCTCTTGAAACTGGCAAGGCTAGTTTGAAACTGACAAGAATCTAGCTGTTGTAGATTTTCTGGGTTGTATGGCCGTGGTTTTGGCATTGTGGGACCTGATGTTTCACCAGTAAGACATCTTTCTGTGCAATACCTCTGAGGATGCCAGTCACAGCAACTGGCAGAGCGTCAGGTCCTACAATGCCAAGACCACAGCCATACAGCTCAGGAAATCTACAACAGCTAATGAACTCCGGCCCTGAAAGCCTTTGACGACATAGTGACAAGAATCTATTTTTTTGTTTGTTCCTTTTATTTGAAAGTGCTATACAAAAGCAGTCATGACCCGAGGAACTCAGTTTTAAGATAAGGGAAAAAGAACACAAACTGAGCTTTTGTTAGCATGGATAGTTAAATTGTCCAGTGTGTGAATGGTGTGGAGAATACAAATTAAACACTTCCATGAAGAGCAAAGGGCAGGAAAATGGCCAGGTTGGGGAGAGTTTCTAAAGCTCTTGCAATATGATTGCTTTCAGTAGATATTTGTTTTCTCGAGTGCTTATTGATGAGGAAGTATGTTACGGGATCGAGACATAGTTCTGCACAAGTTGAATGTGTTCTGTATATATGTGCTGTTAAGTTGTGAGCAACTTATGGCGACCCCAGCAAGGGGCTTTCAAGGGAAGTGAAAAGCAGCGGTCGTTTGCCACTGCCTTCCTCGGCAGAGTCTTCCTTGGCGGTCCCCCATCCAAGTACGGACCCTGCGTTGCTTCTGAGATCCAATGAGACTCGGCTATACCATACCATTCCAGTTCCCCTGAATTAGTTACTAGAATATTATTTTAGAACGAACCATTTAAAAATTGGACACTGCAAGAGTGCAAGTTGGGATTTTCCCCCCCTCCCTCCTCCCAAGAACGTCTGAAGTATTTTCACCCTGGGAGAATTTTAAAGAAAAGTTAACTCCCCCCCCCATTTTAGCATTAGTGTTTATGTGCTACAGACCAACAACTGCAGTCTCCAACCCACCTTATGAAACAGAGCCTTACCTTTGTACTCCCCCTTGGCAGTCTTCAACAACCAAGATTTTTGTTTTTTAAAAAAGGTCTATGTTAATACATAAAAAAGTCGGCTAAGTCTCAGCTTTCTTACGCAACATACTGAAAATGGATTTAGAAGTTCCCTGGACCATCCACAACTTTATGGGGAGACGTGCACCATCTCTACCGAGCACTGCTGATGGGAGTGTTGGATCACCACTCTGTGGTGCAATTGTGCCTGTGGCAGGATCTCGGAGCCAAATAGGCAGAGGCTCAGCACAGGAGCAGAAAGCGTCTAGAATTTTCTAGCTTACCATGGCAAGAAGCATTGCACATTAATATGGATGCAGAACTGCAGCATAAAAAGGTAAAGGTAAAGGTTCCCTTGCTCGAAAGCCAGTCGAGTCTGACTCTAGGGTTGCGGTGCTCATCTCCATTTCAAAGCCGAAGAGCCAGCGCTGTCCGAAGACATTTCCGTGGTCCTGTGGCTGGCATGACTAAACACCTTCCCACCGAAGTGGTACCTATTTATCTACTTGCAATTTCTTGCTTTTGAACTGCTAGGTTGGCAGGAGCTGGAACTAGAGATGGGAGCTCACAATCAATCACAAATCACAAATTAATATGGATGCAGAACTGCAGCATACAGATACCTACATCATTATTTAACATCTTAGAAATGTGCTCCATAGCTTGCTGTTGGTGATCATTAGACTCTCCATTAGAAGGAAATTGGAAGGAAATCGGGACGCCCAATTTTCCCAAGCACCTATAAGACCGTAAGAGTTGCATTGTGCAATGATAAGAGTCACATTGTGCAGCAGATGATAAATCTGTGCAAGCAGTATTGCCCTTGACGGGCTGCAGCTCTCTGGGAGCTCAGGTGTGTGTCACTCCATGTCCTTTTCACTGAGCTCCTTCCACCAGAACGACCAGAGATTCTTTAATCTTCTGACCATATGCTCTAGCTCACCAAGCCCATGTTCTTCAGCCTCCTTGACAGATGTTTCTCCAACCAATTTTAAAGCTGCACAAAGTGGTGGTCAATATAGCCTAACTATTTTCTGTGTTTGATGATGGAGAGGCAGCTTTTCCTCCTTATGATGTTAAAGGCATGAGGGTTTGGGAAGGTAATAAGAACTATGGAACTCCTTCACAGGAACTGGTTTGATCCCTGTGGTACTTTCACTGCATTATTAACCTTTTCTCTTTTATGACTTCAGCATCTCATCGGGTCTCAAGAGTTTAATGACGTATGCAATATGGGGTGTGTGTGTGTGTGTGTGTGTGTAAGAATCGGTGAATTGTTCAAAGAAAGTAGTGGAGAAAACCATAAGGTGTGCCTCACCAAACTCTTTCCAACAATTGGTACGGTGTGGATTTTTCATTCAGACACTTCCTCTGCCTTAGCTTTCTTTCTGCGGTGAATCTCTTGACAGTGCGGAATAGGGAGATAAAAGGAAACATTAATTCTTATACATTTCATTTATATCACAAGCAATGCTCCCTCTAAGTTGTGGAGTCCTGTGAGCAAAAATTCCACTTTGTGAGCTACTGATGTTAAAGTTGCGAGCGAGCGGTTTGGCTACCGCATAAATCAGTTTGCTCTGTAGCCCTCCTTCCTGAGCTAAGACCAAAACCTGTGAGCTGGAGACTAAAAACCTGTGAGCTAGCTCACACAAACTCAGTTTAGGGGGAACACTGATCACAAGTTTCCTCCCAAGAGAAGTGAACGATGTTTTGATCTCACAACAATGCCTCTGAGATAAGCTAGGCTGGGATCTCTGGCAGGTAGCTCACGCATTACTGGTGTAGCTGACCGGCTTCTGTAGAGTAGCTCATGCATCCTCTGGGAGAACCAGGAAAGGATCATGAAAAGCTCTGTTCCAGCCCTTTAAAAATAAAGCTTTTGTTTCATAAGTTTTTTCTCTGTCCTTCTCAGGGGTTGTTTCCTGCAGGAGCGCACAGGAGCGGAGCTCCGG